AATAGCACTAGCACTTGCACTAGCTAGCACTAGCAGTATGTGTTATTTCGTGTGTGAACAATAGATAAATGACTTGAAGGGCATGTTTGAGAATTCTTGATGTCAGCGGCAACTCAGACTAATCTACTTTTGTTGTTTCAGAGACATTGCAACAATTTTAAGTGGGGAGAAGGCTTAACGATTCAGATACAGGATTCAGGTAGGTGGGGTATCGCACATCTAGATGAAAAAAATTGTTTGTGTATGTTTGTGTGTGTGAAAGGGGGGAGCTTTTCTTCCACTCCCCTATAAGTAAAAAAATGGTGGGATGCGCCTTGGAATGTGTTTTATTTTAAAAGCAGCAGCAACTCAGACTAATCTATTTGTTGTTTCAGAGACATTGCAACAATCTTAAGTGGGGAGAAGGCTTAACGATTAGATACAGGATTAAGGTAGGTGGGGTATCGCACATCTAGATGAAAAAATTTTGTGTGTGTGTGTGTGTGTGTGTGTGTGAGAGAGAGAGAGAGAGAGAGAGAAAGGGGGGGGGGTAGCTTTTCTTCCACCCTTCTATAAATAAAAATATGGTAGTATTTGAGGTGCACCTTGAAATGTGTTTTGTTTTAAAACCACTGAGAACACGGCATGAGTCATGTAGTAAAATCCTTACTGTTTCAAATATTACTAATTTTAATTTGAAAAAACACATATTTATGATCATTTCTAGTTATTATACTGCAAAGACTTTTTCATATATGGAGTGCTAAAGGCTAATAAAGTCTATCTTCACTCCAGCTTAATCCTTAGATTTGATTCCCAATCTGAGAAAAGAAATTTGAAAGTTATACTGATAATTGCTCTGGAGAACAGAGTTGATGGTTCAGCAACAGGGCCAGGGTCTTTAACTCATAATAAAGTTATATTTCGATTGTAAATTGAATTTCTATGTGAGGCAGAACAAAATAAGGATCGTACATAAGGACCCTAAATAAGGATCGTAGTCAGTCACACCTGCACAAAAAACAAACTAAAGTCATTATTTTGCACATAAAATACACTGAATAAAAAAAAAAACATGCATCATTTTGATTAATATGGATCTCATTTATTAAATTTTCTCCATTTCTTAACATTCAAGATAAAACTTTCACTTGGCAAATAATCTGTCTGCAGGCGTTTCTATGGAAATTGTACCATGTGATTTCTTGTAGCCTACGATTTGGAGGTGTTTAAAAATTTTTGACCAAGATTGAAATTTTGGAAGTCATTCCACGGTGAACCACCAGACAAACCTGTTACAGGTGAAGATGTAGCGTAAAAAAAAAAAACATACATTTACTTTGAACCGAAAAAGTGCAAGACAGAAGCTTTTGGAGGCTGCTACCCCGCTCCAATATACCAGTAGACACAGGTTGAATAAAATGTCCATCTGAAATGACAATGACAATCAATGACAGAAAAGAGAAAAGCTTCATGCCTGGATTCTACTTCTACTTCGACCGCCGCATGAAAGTACAATATTATCGAGGTGGCATTTTAACATTAGGGAAGTTTCGCTATCCCGGCCCGAGAACTAGCCTGCCACGAACAATTCTCGTTCTCGATCTCGGGGCCTACATGCATGGCTATACAGGGTTTCGCATTCCCGACCCGAGAAATCTGGTTTTTCAGCGCGGAGTGTAGATGGCAGCAGCTCATAAAATGGCGATCGGCGGCGCAGCGCGAATGCTTGAACTGGCTATTGAGTACGATGATGCCGAGTTATTTGATGCTGGAATGCATCTAATGTGATTGGCAATCTCAGACTGCCTTCTTTTGACGTGAACTGGAGTCCTCAACTGTCCAGGAATATCTTGGGATTTGAACTGTCACCTCTGACTAATTACAACAAGACGAACAAACATGAATTTGGTAGCCCCTACTTTATGACTGGTTAATTTTAATCAAATAGTGTAAACAGAACAGTGTATAAATAAAACAGTGTACAAAAGTAAAAAAGATCATAGAAAAATAATAATTTTTTGTCTAACTTGACTGAAATCAACCCCCACCCATGTGCAGAACATCTACACGTAAAAGCCATGTCTACTCAAGGAAACTTCAGTTGGAAAAAATCAGTATGAAGAGTGAAATTTAACAAGATAGGCCCACTGTTGGAAATGTGGAGAGTAGTGGTCAGAATATTGGTTTCACAGTTTGTTCAGATTAACCCCTCACCTGCCACACTGACCACAAAGGTGGGGAGTAATCTGAACAAACTCCGTGAAATATTATATTCTGACCACTACTCTCCACATCCTGAAAAAAATATTCCAATTCTGGGATGGTACTTTTCCACATGTGGGCCCATCTATATAAAAAATTTCCTCTTAACATCGTGTCACATTCTCGGTCAGCGCTCCGACATCCAGCGCCTGGTTCTCGGAGTCCGACAACGAGAACGCGAAAACAAGCGCAAAAAGTGATGACGTTATACGCAATTTCTTCAAATTATCGGCGCACTGGTTCTCGGGCCGGGAAAGCGAAACCTCCCTATTAGTTGCGCGAGTGGTGTGGGGACCGTGTGTATAGTAGAGATGCAGTATAGCATACCGCACGTTTGTTTACGCAAAAAAAAAAAAAAAAAAAAAAAAAACTGGAAAGTTTAATAAATGAAGACTTAGATAACGTAGATCAAGACGCACCTTTTCGTTTTCCTCGCTTTTTTACTCACACCCATTTTACCTGTTGTGCATAATTAAAATTTCGTTTTGACTTTGCTGTTAAGCATAATGTATTATTGCACCAGAATTGACAGTACCGGTAGACTATTTTGTGCATCAATGTTTTCTGCTTTTTGTCTGTACAATTGACAGCTTTGCTGCCTTGTTGAAATTTTACATACATTTTTCCTAAACAACATGAACAAAGAATCATTGCTATAGAAAGGTTGGATTTGAGTTTTTTTTATAAAATGTCAGTTATAAAGGCGAGAAGTAGGGGTGAGGGTAAAGGGGGCGGGCTATGCTGCGAATGCAAATTAAAAATTCTTGCTTTGTAGAAGCATTATCCTTCGGATGCATGGGACTAGATTTGGTCCAGGTCTTTGACATATACATTCATTGTATTTCAGTCTTTAATTTATTTATAATTTCATTATTATAAATGTATTTCTATCTTTTTACTTTTCACCACAACCAATACCAATAGCACTAGCACTTGCACTAGGTACATTGTAGCACTACAAATGTAGCAGTATGTGTTATCATGTGCGTGAACAATAGATAAATGACTTGAAGGGCATGTTTGAGAATTCTTGATGTCAGCGGCAACTCAGACTAATCTATTTTTGTTGTTTCAGAGACATTGCAACAATTTTAAGTGGGGAGAAGGCTTAACGGTTCAGATACAGGGTTAAGGTAGGTGGGGTATCGCACATCTAGATGAAAAAATTGTGTGTGTGTGTGTGTGTGTGTGTGTGTGTATGGGAATTGTACCATGTGATTTCTTTTAGCCTACGATTTGGGAGCGATTTAAAATTTTTGACCCAGATTGAAATTTTGGAAGTCTTTCCACGGTGAACCACCAAACAAACCTGTTATTGGTGCAGATGTAGCGTGAAAAAAACATACATTTACTTTGAACCGAAAAAGTGCAAGACAGAAGCTTTTGGAGGCTGCTACCCTGCTCCAATATTATTATACCAGTAGACACAGGTTGAATAAAATGTCCATCTGAAATGACAATGACAATCAATGACAGAAAAGAGAAAAGCCTCATGCCTGGATTCCCCTTCTACTTCGACCGCCGCATGAAAGTACAGTATTATCGAGGTGGCATTTTAACATTAGTTTCGCAGTGGTGTGGAGACATTGTGTAGTAGAGATGCAGTATAGCATACTGCACGTTAGTTTCCGCAAAAAAACCAGAAAGTTTAAAAAATGATGACTTAGATAACGTAGATCAAGACGCACCTTTTCGTTTTCCTCGCTTTTTTACTCACACCCATTTTACCTGTTGTGCATAATTAAAATTTGGTGTTTGCTGTTAAGCATAATGTATTATTGCACCACAATTGACAGTAGACTATTTTGTGCATCAATGTTTTCTGCTTTTTGTCTGTACAATTGACAGCTTTGCTGCCTTGTTGAAATTTTACATACATTTTTCCTAAACAACGTGTTAACAAAGAATCATTGCTATAGAAAGGTTGGATTTGAGTTTTTTTCATAAAACGTCAGTTATAAAGGCGAGAAGTAGGGGTGAGGGTGATGGGGCCCGGATATGCTGCGAATGCAAATTAAAAGTTCTTGCTTTGTAGAAGCATTATCCTTCTCCACGGATTTTGATAACATCTTTACCATGAAATCAAAGTCATGTTTCAGTGATAGCAATTCTACTGTAGAATTTCACGGTGGGAGCTATATTATAGGAGGAACTTAATTATATTCTGTAATATTCGTCAAAGCATTGGTTGTGGATAAAAATTATTCCATTCGTGTTGTTTGGTACGCATTCCACTAAGAGCTGTTCACTCACCAATTTTCGAGGGAGGGCCGGTGAAACGTGACAGAGAATCCCCCAGGATAGAAAGTCTGCTACCCATTCATTTGTACAGACTTTGGCCCACTTAGGTCAGGCTAACCCTAACTATTATAACTAAACGGAGGACGTACATTCTGTTACACGGACCCTCAGTTTCGTTACACTGGGGCATTTCCTGTCTGAAAAATATAGATAAAAGCGCAAGTGATGTTTGTGGACGTCCCCCCCGATATCTGTCACCGCAATTTTCTTTCACACGTGCAGTTGCTTTAACAACTGAATGAAAACAAATTCAGACGACGTCAATTGATCGTACGTCATAGCCCTAATATTATTGTGTTAATAGATGTTTTCCCAATTTAAAAGCAATGAAAAGCATTATGCAAAACGGTCACTATTCGTTTTCTAAACCATAATCAACGCAACAAACCGCAACGACTGAATAAAATTTAAATTTATTAAGAGAGGAGCAAAAAGACAATATCCCTCAATACATCTCTTGTGCCGCGAGAGTTGCCAACGTTATTATCAATAGCTCAGAATATTAATTTTCACCATTTTTTTTTCATTTTTGTGCCCAACAGACGGCGTTGAATTTCAAGCGGAAATTGTTTAGAAAATCAGAATTAACTATAGCGCGAATTTTATTAGTCATCCAGACCTTGAATCAACCATCAAGACCAGCAGGTCCACGTGAGGACACGCGGGCGCCACGTTGCAATAAGCTGGAATCATGGCGATTGTCACCGTGCTTTCATGTCTTATAACTCTGGTTGTGACCCCACATCAGACAGCTGCTATAGGGATGTATGAAGAAAGTGCTGTCCCGAAAGAAGCCTACCCGTTACCACCACTGCCATATCCCTATGGTGGTCTGGAGCCGCACATGGACGAAAGAACGGTTCAGGCAAGTGACGTGATGTATTACTCTCCACATCCCTCCTTCCAATTCCCGTACGTGATTCATGTTGCAAGTGTTTGTTTTAGCAAAAAATAAATAGATAAATAAATAAAAATAAGAGAGAGAGAGAATATTCTCTATCTACCTCATAGATAGATAGATAGATAGATAGACATAGATATAAATATATGCTATTCACACTATAAAACGGAGTTGGATGGTGCGTTATGATTGCAAATGATACCGATATGAAGATGTAAATTAGTATATCACGTACATGCAGGTGCATTACACGGGTACCGTACATATACCGGAACATGTCAAATGTAAGCATGTTGATCCTGCCTTTCAAATTGATATTTTACTCTCGTGTATGCCCTCATGATTAATGCGTTAATAACAGAGCAACTCAATTTGATGTCGAGAGGATAAGGGTTGTTATCATTATCATTATTATGTTGTAACTGCATACACTGTTGTTTTTTTTTCTTTTTTTTTTTTTTTTTCAGATTCACCACCAGGGACATCATGCAGCTTATACGACCAAGATGAATGCCGCATTAAAACAATGGAGAGAAGAGGTACTGTTTAAACGATTTCGTAGAAACATTACACTAAACAGATGTGTAGTTTTGTGTGCGTTGGTGACTTGAAGAATCCTCCGACAGTAGCGCCATCTGCCGCCCTAAATTGGCATCCGTATATTTAGAGAGAAGATTCAGCTGATACTCTTTTGTCCACAGATAAACATATAAGTCCAATTGAAGAGATTTAGATCTTAAGATGACTTAAGATGCCACATGATTTCCTTCAACAAAATACCAAGCTAGAGATTCAGATAGACTATGGCAACGTACAGTGTACGTGCTTATACATGTACAAGCGCATGGTGCCTTATACTGCACTGGATGGAGGAGACCTTCCCAATTTCATTGTTAACACCGTAGTCTGAATTTTTCATCACAAAAATTACCTTTTTACTGTCCTTTCCTGTAGTTTGCATCTTTATGCAGCAACAACATCTGATTTTTATCTTATGTGTGCAAAAATATACGGAAATGCATTTTGGAACGCACTATTTCTGGGGTACGGTACCTTGGGCTTCGATAGCATCTCCGCTCCTCTTCGTCACTGCGACGATTTTGTGGCCTAGCGATTGCCATCCATAATTTTGAAAAATGAATTTTCTGGGGTACCTATACATATTTCCCTCAACCTGATGGGATCCATCATTAATTCTAGTTTGTTAGTGTTGTTAGTGATGAAGTGACGGAAAATTACAAGGAATCACTCACCTTGGTCACAGTCACAGTCTTGGTCAGTCTATTACCTTGATCAGTTAAAGGGATAATAACTCTTCGTATGAGGTCTATATTTCACAATAAAAACATTGTGAATAACTCATAGAAATATAATAGATTCTGTTTTACGACAAAAACAGCAGTTAAAGCTATTATTCTGATACCTGAGCTTGTCTTCAGACCACGTGACCTCCATTGATGGCTATGCTCTGTTATTATCTCTTAAGAGATTTTAACAAAAAATCAAACTTAAAAAAAAAAGAAAAAAACAGGGACTAACTTTGAATGTAAAAATGGATTCATTAACCATTAGTAAGTACGGGAAAATTGTTGTTTACTCCAGGAAAATTTATTTTTTGGCCAAAACGAAGAGTTATTATCCCTTTAACAAACTAAACAAAACGACTTAAGAATACTATACAAGTCTACTACTAAGCAAAATATCGCTATACAGAAGACTATAAAATAATAGAGGCTTCTGAACCAATAACACGGAACACGCGCGATAAAAATTCAAATAAAAGAGAAAAAGCCGTCAACTCACCCTGAAACCAAGTACACCAACCCTAAATAGTCCATCTACATTGTCCCAGTGCCGGCTTCGCTCGACTACGGAGAGTTCGACAAACAAAAAACGAAACTTTTCTTGGAGCTGGGATTTACAAACAAAAAGGGAGACGATACTTAAGGTGCATGTTCTTTGTTTGAAGGTGATTCTTTTGGGGTGTTTGTATCTTACTTGAATTTTCATTACACGTGATCCGAGTTGTTTCCAAAGTTCCCTTTATTTACAGTCTTCTGCGGCTTATATGTGGCGAGTTTATTTAATTGAGTAAAATACTTAACCGATTTTGATTTTTTTATTTAGCTTCATGGTAGACCAGTATGGTATTCTAAAGTCGTTTTCAGATTTTTTTTAGTTTTTTAAACTTTCAAGGTAACAGTCGAGTGTGACCGTGGTTCTCGTGAATAGGGAAATATGCAAAAAAAAAAACAGTTTACAAATAAATAATTTCCAATTTTAATAGAGGCAAGTGCACAAATAAAAGGGGGAACGTATCCTAGAATGGCTTAATATCTCTTTTTGGTATTTCTTTATTGCAGGATCCCGGAAACACGTTCGCCAAGAGCTCCATTTTGAACATTCTCCAAAATGTGTCCAGTGTTCCTGAAAAATATAGGACAGCTTTGAGAAACAATGGGGGCGGGTAAGAAGTACATTGTCTACTGATTTCCAGCGTGGTATAGATTTATTCTATGCAAATTAATAATCTTGATAATATGACAGTGCATTAAATATCTAGGTGTTTTACCTTCAGTCTTAAAGTGGTAAACTTGTAGATACACTGTATCACATATAACACTGATCAATTTCGAGTTAAATCGGTCCGATTTTTGACTTACAAGTACCTTGAAGTTTATGCATTGATTTAGAGTATATATACTAAGGCAAAGCATATTTTGGTACAAACAGAATTTACTATTTGAATGTTAATATGCATATTTTTATTCAAATTGGGGAGGCATTTGGTATTTTGAAACATCTGTTTGATATTTGAACATCTTATCATGGTTGAACAGAGACACAAACAGTTGCAAGATGGTACCTGACCCGTGAGATACGTTTATACTGCCTAACAAACGGTTATTATTTCCCACCAGGTATTTCAACCATGCTATATACTGGGCTTGTATGTCCCCCGGAGGTGCAGCTATAACTCCAGATTTGAAAAGTGATATAATACAGAATTTTGGGACATACGATAATTTCAAAGACCAGTTTACAACAAAGGCCATGGCATTGTTTGGTTCAGGTGAGGTTAGCACATATCCAAGTCTACTGGCACATACATGTATTTACTTAACGGTGATTATTGGCATACTTGTATCTATTAAAAACAAAACGGTGCATTAATCGCTTTTGTATATTAAAAATCCTGCTAGCACAGCATCATATTTCTCTAAAGCCATTCCTGTATGAGGCCATTCGGAACGAGAAGAGTCAATTGCTAGCTAGGCCACGACCTAAATATGGCGGTCCTACATTTAAGGAAGACCGCTTAATCCTGTAATGGTCTCTCCGCCTCCCACACGGCTCCCCACGCGTCGTCCCTCGACCGGTTGAATTGAGCCGAGATTTAATTACTGTGCCCCTGCAGGGACTACCTAATTAGGTCGTGGCCTAGCCAGGACTCGGCTCTTCTCATTCTGAATGGGCTCATTTCTATTCAAGGATACGTGTGGCTATCAAGAGGAGAGAATGAACAGCTAGTCATTTCCACAACGGCAAATCAGGACTCGCCTGTGACTGAGGATCTCCACCCAATTCTGGTGATTGACATCTGGGAGCATGCGTACTACCTGAAGCACCAAAACAAACGTGCAGACTTCGTGGCAGATTGGTGGAAATTGGTTAACTGGAACGCTGTTCGGGATCTGGACCAGTGGTGGAAGAGGATCTAGACTCGTAGCGATTGATGGACTATCTGCACCAGGCCCGTAGCCAGGGGGGGGGGGGGTTCAAAAGAACCGCCCCTTTTGCTGGGAAAAGGTCCACTCTGGGTAAAATTTGATCCAGGTACATGATGTTTTTATGGAGAAAGGTCCACTTTTTCAGAAAACGAACCCCCTTTTGAAATTGCTGGCTACGGGCCTGTGCACTGATAACATAAATGGACTGATTGACTAAGGACTTTATAATTTCTGCCCTTCCTGAGACATAGGCTGCGGAGAGTGGGCGGGGGAGTGGTTGAAAAAAGTTTCTTTTGGTCTTAATGCTAGTAGGTGTAGTACTTTTTCTTCCCCTCGGTCCAACAGGCTTTTCCCCCGTCTCCTACTTTTCCTTCAGTCCTACTAGAGGAGTGCTACAGTCGTAAGGTTATTATAGACCTTCAACAACTAGCTGCGCGACCCCAAGTGTGCCTACGGCACTAATTTACATTCGAAATATTAATTGGTGTCAATAAAAGAATGTCTGAAATTTTAATATCGATGAATGTTACAACCTTTAATGGAAACCAGGAAAAAATTACATGTAAGAAAAAAAATTAAATTTCTTCCCAAGAGTCACCCCCCCCCCCTTCCATAGCTCCTGGGCTATATAAGCCAAATTCTAACTCGTTCAATTATCAAAAACAACAGACACTGATTTTGGAATTTCATTTAAATTGTACACGATATTGTATTTTGGAAGTAAAGCAACAGATCTGTCAATATTGTGGTTTTTGTTACTCTACTAGTAAATGTACCAACAATCATTTTGAGAGGTAATGATGCGCTTTAGGCATGCACGAAAACGTAAAACATTTTATAGAACCTCTCAAAGAAGGAATAATCAAAAGTAAATACACTGAAAAAATTACAATAAGATTTGAAAGAAGCAATTAACCATGTGATTACTCCTGGGCCCTGTTTTACAATATGTCCAAAGTCAGTTTTCGGGATAACATCTTAGCCTACTAACATTTGGTTGACTACACTGCGTTTCACAAAAGAATCTTAAATGCCGCTCAGCTATTTTATTGTGATGATCAAAATAATCTAATTTTTACTGGAAATTTAATTTCGACATTGTAGTATACTAGTTGACCGCTAAAATATTTGACTGTTTAAAATCTCTAAAGATCAGCATTCGACAACTTTTTTGATAGAGATCTGGAATGAGTTCTTAATTCTCACTCAGTCACGCAGGAAAAACTCCAATACTGTGACCATCTTATGATAGGCGCATGGTTGGCAAGGCACTGGTTTCTGCCTACCATCATGCCTGCTACTGAAAGAAAAACTTACGCTTAGCAGTAAAAATTAAGTAAAAATACATTTTTCATTTTAAAAAAGATTGCTACTGCGGGTGCCATATTTCGTTAGGTAAATTGCATAATTTGAGAAAGGCTATTACTGGTAATCAATCAACTTCAAACAATTATCATTTATGAAAATAACAATTTGAAAACAAATTAAATTTTGCTTGGAACAAATAAAAAAGAATAGGACGCTCTCTGGTGAAATGGGCAATGTCCCCTGGTTATTAGGCTACTTGGTGAAGTTTTAATCAAACAAACACACAAGCTGAAAAAGAATTCTCTCTCTCTCTCTCTCTCTCTCTCTCTCTCTCTCTCCAAAAAGATATATATATATATATATATATATATATATATATATATATATATATATATATATATATATATATATATATATATATATCGCACACACACACACACACACACACAAACAACAACAACACATTAAAAAATAATATACAGTAGAATAGATAAATGAATAATGCGTCTACAATCTCCACTATAATCGTTTGGATAGGATATTAACTTAAGACCAACTGTAGTTGGGTTTATAACGGAGCTATGCTGAATACGCGACAGTTATGGCCGCCGAGCCGATGCAGCAGGTCCCTGGTAGAATTTCACGGTGGAAGCTATATTATTGGAGGAAATGCTCTGAGGAACTTGACTGATTATTTTCTGTAATATTTGTCAAAGCATTGGTTGTGGATACAAATTATTCCATTCGTGTTGTTGGGTACGTGTTCCACTAAGAGCTGTTCACTCACCAATTTTCAAGGGAGGGCCAGTGTAACGTGACAGAGAGTCCCCCAGGATAGAAAGTCCGCTTTCCATTCATTTGTACAGGTGAGCCTCGCCCTAGATTTTGACCCACTTAGCTCAGGCTAACCCTAACTATTATAACTGAATGGAGGATGGACTTTCTGTTACACGGACCCTCAGTTCCGTTGCACTGGGGCATTTCCAAGTGATGTTTGTGGACGCCCCCCCCCCCCCCCCCATATATGTCACTGCAATTTTCTTTCACGCGTGCAGTTGCTTTAACAACTAAATGAAAACAAATTCAGACGACGTCAATAGATCGTACGTCATAGCCCTAATATTATTCTGTTAATAGATGTTTCCCCAATTTAAAAGCAATGAAAAGCATTATGCAAAATGGTCACTCTTCGTTTTCTAACTGTAACACCTGGCAATTTTTAGATAGCTGAACATTTAACCTAACTATTAAGTTTTGCCCTGTATTGCCAATGACTAATAAGAGTAGGCTGTAAGGTGCTGACCCCTATTGCTGATAGGAATTATTAAGTAGCATATAGTTTCTTTTGATTGTCTTTTAATGAGATTCCTTGAGGGGGTTTAAATTCCCTAGCCAGAGAGCACAGCACATTCCTTTGTTCTGTTCTTGTCGAGAAGAAAACGTGTTTTCATAATCCCAGAAGTTATTCAACCCTAGTGTATACCTTTCGAGAACCCTGTCCAACCAGGAATGTGAGTAAAATTGTTTTTAATGTCATTTTTTGAAACTAAGTGAATTGTTGTTTTTGGCTTGTTTTTGAGTTTAACGCTTACAGAGAAGCAGTTTGACCCACATTGATTTTAATTGATTTATCTACGCTGTACTAGTTCTTTGCTGTGAAATTAAATTGTTTTTATGACACACCTTGTCTTATGCGGTAGAATTTTTATAAGTAAAACATGTTTAAGGTTCAATTAGATATTCTGAAGGAGTAATGCGCTTCATGCTTTCTCTGCTGTCTCATGTTACACAAATTGTGCTAGTTGTCTCAAAGATGTTGGGCGCCTAAATTGTGCCATATTGTGCTATTGCAGATTTCTCAATTACAGCATTCTAGATTATTCTCATTGTAATTATTGCATTAAAGTAGTTAATTTTTTTATTTATTTATTTATTTATTTATTTATTTATTTAATTTTTTATTTCAGTTTAAACCGTCGTTGATTGACGACTATTTTATGACTGGTTAAGACAGAGAGGAGAATAAACATCATATACTATTCCAACAAGACTCTATTCCTTATCTAACACTACGGGTGTTACACTAACCATAATCAACGCAACAAACCACAACGACTGAATAAAATTTAAATGAATTAAGAGAGGAGCAAAAAACAATTTCCCTCAGTACATCTGTTGTGCCGCAAGAGTTGCCAACGTTATTATCAATAGCTCAGAATATAAATTATAACCATCTTTTATTTTTGTGCCCAACAGACGGCGTTACATTTCAAGCGGATGCGGAAATTGTTTAAAAAATCAGAATTAACTATAGCGCGGATTTTATTAGTCATCAAGGCCTTCAATCAACCTTCAAGACCAGGTGAGGATACGCGGGCGCCACGTTGCAATAAGCTGGAATCATGGCGATTGTCACCGTGCTTTTTTGTGTTATAACTCTGATTGTGACCCCACATCAGACAGCTGATGCAAGGATGTATGAAGACTGTGTTCAGCAGAGAGAAGACTACCCGTTACCACCACTGCCATATTCCTATAATAGTCTAGAGCCGCACATGGACGCGACAACGGTTCAGGCAAGTAACGTGACGTATTATTCTCCACATCATGATTCATGTTGCAAGTATTTGTTTTAGCAAAAAATAAATAAATAAATAAATAGATAAATAAATAAATAAAATAAAAATAAATAAATGAAGAGGAGAGAGAATATTCTCTATGTAGATAGATAGATAGATGGATAGAAAGATAGATAGATAGACATAGATATAAATATATGCAATTCACACTATAAAACGGAGCTGGATGGTGCGTTATGATTGTAAATTATACCGATGTGAAGATAAATTAGTATATCACGTATACTGAGCAAAAATATAAACGCACGAAACTAAAATGGTCAGTTAAAATGGATGATTATGATATATGCCGAAGTTGATGGTTTATTTGTGAATTGATGGATTTGTATTGATCAAGTGTAGTGGTCTGGCTTCACTTGGATGCTCCCCGTGAGTATACTTTTAAGGTTTAGTTT